GACAAAAAAGTCATAGTATAGTAAGGCATAAAAAGGACAAAAAAGTCATAGTATAGTAAGGCATAAAAAGGACAAAAAAGTCATAGTATAGTAAGGCATAAAAAGGACAAAAAAGTCATAGTATAGTAAGGCATAAAAAGGACAAAAAAGTCATAGTATAGTAAGGCATAAAAAGGACAAAAAAGTCATAGTATAGTAAGGCATAAAAAGGACAAAAAAGTCATAGTATAGTAAGGCATAAAAAGGACAAAAAAGTCATAGTATAGTAAGGCATAAAAAGGACAAAAAAGTCATAGTATAGTAAGGCATAAAAAGGACAAAAAAGTCATAGTATAGTAAGGCATAAAAAGGACAAAAAAGTCATAGTATAGTAAGGCATAAAAAGGACAAAAAAGTCATAGTATAGTAAGGCATAAAAAGGACAAAAAAGTCATAGTATAGTAAGGCATAAAAAGGACAAAAAAGTCATAGTATAGTAAGGCATAAAAAGGACAAAAAAGTCATAGTATAGTAAGGCATAAAAAGGACAAAAAAGTCATAGTATAGTAAGGCATAAAAAGGACAAAAAAGTCATAGTATAGTAAGGCATAAAAAGGACAAAAAAGTCATAGTATAGTAAGGCATAAAAAGGACAAAAAAGTCATAGTATAGTAAGGCATAAAAAGGACAAAAAAGTCATAGTATAGTAAGGCATAAAAAGGACAAAAAAGTCATAGTATAGTAAGGCATAAAAAGGACAAAAAAGTCATAGTATAGTAAGGCATAAAAAGGACAAAAAAGTCATAGTATAGTAAGGCATAAAAAGGACAAAAAAGTCATAGTATAGTAAGGCATAAAAAGGACAAAAAAGTCATAGTATAGTAAGGCATAAAAAGGACAAAAAAGTCATAGTATAGTAAGGCATAAAAAGGACAAAAAAGTCATAGTATAGTAAGGCATAAAAAGGACAAAAAAGTCATAGTATAGTAAGGCATAAAAAGGACAAAAAAGTCATAGTATAGTAAGGCATAAAAAGGACAAAAAAGTCATAGTATAGTAAGGCATAAAAAGGACAAAAAAGTCATAGTATAGTAAGGCATAAAAAGGACAAAAAAGTCATAGTATAGTAAGGCATAAAAAGGACAAAAAAGTCATAGTATAGTAAGGCATAAAAAGGACAAAAAAGTCATAGTATAGTAAGGCATAAAAAGGACAAAAAAGTCATAGTATAGTAAGGCATAAAAAGGACAAAAAAGTCATAGTATAGTAAGGCATAAAAAGGACAAAAAAGTCATAGTATAGTAAGGCATAAAAAGGACAAAAAAGTCATAGTATAGTAAGGCATAAAAAGGACAAAAAAGTCATAGTATAGTAAGGCATAAAAAGGACAAAAAAGTCATAGTATAGTAAGGCATAAAAAGGACAAAAAAGTCATAGTATAGTAAGGCATAAAAAGGACAAAAAAGTCATAGTATAGTAAGGCATAAAAAGGACAAAAAAGTCATAGTATAGTAAGGCATAAAAAGGACAAAAAAGTCATAGTATAGTAAGGCATAAAAAGGACAAAAAAGTCATAGTATAGTAAGGCATAAAAAGGACAAAAAAGTCATAGTATAGTAAGGCATAAAAAGGACAAAAAAGTCATAGTATAGTAAGGCATAAAAAGGACAAAAAAGTCATAGTATAGTAAGGCATAAAAAGGACAAAAAAGTCATAGTATAGTAAGGCATAAAAAGGACAAAAAAGTCATAGTATAGTAAGGCATAAAAAGGACAAAAAAGTCATAGTATAGTAAGGCATAAAAAGGACAAAAAAGTCATAGTATAGTAAGGCATAAAAAGGACAAAAAAGTCATAGTATAGTAAGGCATAAAAAGGACAAAAAAGTCATAGTATAGTAAGGCATAAAAAGGACAAAAAAGTCATAGTATAGTAAGGCATAAAAAGGACAAAAAAGTCATAGTATAGTAAGGCATAAAAAGGACAAAAAAGTCATAGTATAGTAAGGCATAAAAAGGACAAAAAAGTCATAGTATAGTAAGGCATAAAAAGGACAAAAAAGTCATAGTATAGTAAGGCATAAAAAGGGGAAACAAACGTCATAGTATAGTAAGGCACAAAAAGGTGAAAAAACGTCATAGTACTGTAAGGCAAAAAAACGGCATAGAACTTCATAGTATAATAAGGTATAAAACGTCATAGTATAGTAAGGTATAAAAAGGTGAAAAAACGTCATAGTATAGTAGGGCATAAAAAGGTGAAAAAACATCATAGTATAGTAAGGCATAAAAATGGCATAAAACCTCATAGTATTGTAAGGCATAAAAATGGCATAAAACGTCATAGTATAGTAAGGCAATTGAATGGCATAAAATGTCATAGTACAATAAGGTATAAAACTTTATAGTATAGTAAGACATAAAAACAGCATAAAACGTCACAGTAAAGTAAAGCATAAAAAGGTGAAAAAAAGTCATAGTATCGTAAGGCAAAAAAAACGGCATAAAACGTCATAGTATAATAAGGTACAAAACGTCATAGTATAGTAAGGCATAAAGAGGTAAGAAAAACGTCATAGTATAGTAAGGCATAAAAATGGCATAAAACGTCATAGTATAGTAAGGCATAAAAAGGTGAAAAAACATCATAGTATAGTATGGCATAAAAATGGCATAAAACATCATAGTATAGTAAGGCATAAAAAGGTGAAAAAACGTCATAGTATAGTATGGCATAAAAAGGTGAAAAAACATAGTATAGTAAGGCATAAAAAGGTGAAAAACATCATAGTATAGTAAGGCATAAAAAGGTGAAAAAACATCATAGTATAGTAAGGCATAAAAACGGCATAAAACGTCATAGTATAATAAGGCATAAAAAGGTGAAAAAACTTCATAGTACAGTAAGGCATAAAAAGTTGAAAAAATGTCATAGTATAGTAAGGTATAAAACATAGTATAGTAAGGCATAAAAAGGTGAAAAAACATCATAGTATATAGTAAGGCATAAAAATGGCATAAAACGTCATAGTATAGTAAGGTATAAAACATCATAGTACAGTAAGGCATAAAAACGGCATAAAACGTCATAGTATAGTAAGGTATAAAAAGGTGAAAAAACGTCATAGTATAGTAAGGCATAAAAATGGCATAAAACGTCATATTATAGTAGGGCATAAAAAGGTGAAAAAACATCATAGTATAGTAAGGCATAAAAATGGCATAAAACGTCATAGTATTGTAAGGCACAAAAAGGTGAAAAAACGTCAAAGTATAGTAAGGCAATTGAATGGCATAAAATGTCATAGTACAATAAGGTATAAAACTTTATAGTATAGTAAGACATAAAAACAGCATAAAACGTCACAGTATAGTAAGGCATAAAAAGGTGAAAAAAAGTCAGTATCGTAAGGCAAAAAAAACGGCATAAAACGTCATAGTATAATAAGGTACAAAATGTCATAGTATAGTCAGGCATAAAGAGGTGAAAAAACATCATAGTATAGTAAGGCATAAAAAGGTGAAAAAACATAGTATAGTAAGGCATAAAAAGGTGAAAAACATCATAGTATAGTAAGGCATAAAAATGTGAAAAACATCATAGTATAGTAAGGCATAAAAAGGTGAAAAAACATCATAGTATAGTAAGGCATAAAAATGGCATAAAACGTCATAGTATAGTAAGCCATAAAAAGGTGAAATAACGTCATAGTACAGTAAGGCATAAAAAGGTGAAAAAACATCATAGTATCGTAAGGCATAAAACGTCATAGTATAGTAAGGCATAAAAATGTGAAAAAACGTCATAGTATATATAGTAAGGCACAAAAAGGTGAAAAAACATCATAGTATAGTCAGGCAAAAAAACGGCATAAAACGTCAAAGTATAGTAAGGCATAAAAAGGTGAAAAAACATCATAGTATAGTAAGACATAAAACGTCATAGTATAGTAAGGCATAAAAAGGTGAAAAAATATCATAGTATAGTAAGACATAAAACGTCATAGTATAGTAAGGCATAAAAAGGTGAAAAAACGTCATAGTATAGTAAGGCATAAAAACGGCATAAAACATCATAGTATAGTAAGACATAAAACATCATAGTATAGTAAGGCATAAAAAGATGAAAAAACATCATATTACAGTAAGGCATAAAAACGGCATAAAACATCATCGTATAGTAAGTCATAAAACGTCATAGTATAGTAAGGCATAAAAAGGTCATAGTATAGTAAGGCACAAAAACGGAATACAACGTAACAGTATAGTAAGGCAAAAAACGTCAAAGTATAATAACAATTTAAAAGAGTCATAGCATAGTAAGCCATAAAAAGTCAAGTCACATGTAAGTGATAAAAATGAAAAAAGTGATAAAAGTCATAATATAGTATGGCATGAAAAGTCATAGTATAGCAAGGTATAAACAATCGTGGTAAGGCATTAAAAGTCATAATATAGTAAGGCATAAAATGTCATATTATAGCAAGGCATAAAACGTCACAGTATAGTAAATCTTTAAAAGGTCATAGTATGGTAAGGCACAAAAAGTCATTGTATAGTAAGGTATTAAAATAGGTCACAGCTATATATATATATATATATATATATATATTTCGGAACTAACTGTTGTAGAAATTCATATAAAGATCCTATAATAAATATATAATAAATATATAATAATATAAAGTTTTTTGGTAGGATTATGTTTTTGGTATATATTTGAATTTCAAGTTGCTAATTAATTTTCTGTTAGACCTAATTGACTAATCTTTGCACTTGGATTAATCTAGAATAATAATCTTCATGCTGTTGGTTTCAATTTGAATTTTTTGTTTACTAATCAGTCGCCTAATGTTCATAATTCTAATAGATTCTGATTTATAGATTGAATCAAAATTTTGAGAGCTGTTGGTGGCTCTGTATTTTCTTGTGCTGTTTTGAAATGCCGGATTGTACCTTTAAAGGTCCCTGATTTGTGTTGCCATAGAAACTTGGGAAGGAACGCTTGAGGCGCACTCTAAAACACACTTTGAAAAGAAACTTCAACCAACGATTAGAGGAGGAAGAGTTAAAACGTTTAGAGTGTGTGCATCGTGAAATCGGTCCGAGAAGCTTCAAACACGGCCAGGAGTCATGAGTCTTTCCAAACCTATCCACAAGCTTTCACCGTGAGTTTCTGTGGAGCGGGTCTCCCCGTCAGCCAGAGTCAATCTGAGTGATCACTGTCAATAACTCTACATTGTTGTGTGTGAACAGGGATCTGTTTGAGAGGAGCGGCTCTGTGGAATCTAAATTCAACAAGACCACTCTCCTCTTTGATCTACAGAAGAGACGCCGGGAGGACGAGGGGCTTACAGCAGCGTTAGAGGAGCGCGAACAGGTCTGGACTGGCTAAAAGCTTTGTTTTTCAATACTTTATTGAAGGACCTCAGACCACAGAGACCACAGATGGAAGCAAAACAACCTAGCTACATAGAATACAAGGCAAAAGGAGCAATATGACCATGTAAATGATATCTCTAGATAGATAGATAGATAGATAGATAGATAGATAGATAGATAGATAGATACTTTATTTATCCCCTAGGGCACAAAGTCTTTATAGCTTTAACATTTTTGGAAGACTTCAAAACTTTTCATTTTTTGTTTGTAAAATGTGGTAATTAAGAAAATAAGATTAATATAAAAATGCTTCCATCTGCCTTTTGGTAATCAAAGATGGCAAAGAAAACGTTAAAGAAAACAAAACATGCATTTGAGAATTATCTCATATTCTTTTAACTTTTGACTGGTGTGTGTGTTTTATGTAGAAGTTGGAGAGCTTGCACCAGTGCAGAGATGAGTTGCACAAGGTCCACCAGAAAGTGCAGGAGTTAAAATCAAGCTTCGATACATTTCTCAAGGTACAGTAAGATATGTCACACATGACTCCTAGTATCAGTCTGTACATACTGGATTACAGTTTCATGGCTGGAACTGGATGACAACAACCTAACTAACTAAAATTGTTCTATCTCCTTTTGTATGTAGAATGAAGATGCTGATCGAGCTGTTGAGAAAGCAGAGAAGGAGAGGGAAGAGGTACTCCAAAAAACCAAAGAGATAGAGAGGCTCAAGAAGGAAAAGGCTGAACTTATAGAGGGGAGTCAGCAGCTAAAACTTGACGTGCAGAGTCACACTATTTACCAGGACATCCTGGAGCAAATGGTGAAATTGACTAAGGTAGGCTACTGCAAGGATATTTACTATGGCAGAGAAACATTTGACTAAATCACCTAACATCACCACCTAACATGTCAATTCTGTAATTGACATGTTAGGTGGTGAATTGACTATAGCTTATATTCCCCAGACTATCACACACAACTCATCTTTTTGCTGCTCTAAAAGCATGAAATGCCCAATGAATGGCTTTCGTCACAACCCCTTTAGTATTACATCATACTGTTTAAGTGAAAAATTTGAACTCTGGAAATTGTTTAGTCATAGTGGTAAGCCACTCTAAATCTTGATTTACCTTGTCTCCTGATGACTTAAACAGTAGTCTACAGGTTAATGTTTTATTTTAGAAGAGGGCAGCAATTTGTGTGATGTTAGCAGGAGTGGTCCTAACTCACACTATGGAAAACTCTTGTTTTCACATGTTTTGAGGAGATAGTGGAGCTTAATATTGGGGCTATACCTCTAATGTGTGTCTGTGTTACAGTTCAAAGATGTGGACTTGCTCACGGATTATGTGGAGAGTCTTCTCCGCTTGAAAGACCAGCTCTCTGTGAGGGAGAGAGCGGTGCAGGAGCAGGTTTACAACATGAAAAAAGAACTGGTGGCACTGAATGACCAGCATCATTTGCTGCAGCTGCAAAAGAACAATGAACTGTCCCAGCTCCAGACTGAGCTGGACGACACGCGCTCTGAAACTCTACTCTGGGTACCACACATAATCCCAAACCCAAGTCCAGTGTCAGAACATATAGACCAGATCAAATGTTGAAGTACCATCTTCTGTACAAAATTCAGTTTCCCTGTCTTCATACAGGAAAGGAAGTGGACCCAAATTCAGGAAACTGCTGCAAAGAAGACTCTTCAGCTGGGACAAATTAAGATTGCAATCCTAAACCTCTTTGAAATGACAGGTGGCACATCATCTGAAGAAGAAGAAGAAGAAGAAGAAGGAGAAGGAGAAGGAGAAGATGGTGTCGATTTGAATGACGCAGAGAAACAGCTGGACAAGGTATGTACCCTGACAGATTAGAGATGTTGACAAGCAGCCACAGCAACAGAAAATGATCCTCATAATACACTGTTTCCTACTGCCTCTCTCTTAGATCATGGTGTTCATCCACGACTATGCAAACGTAGTGAAACAACATCAAACTCCCTTGCAACATCAGACCCTCTCCACACTCACCGATGTACAGAAAAGTGACAGTGATAACGTGCGAGTCACAACTCGCTCTAAACATGTTTCAGTTTGAAATAAAACATAAGTTTCTATGCTGCTTTAAAACAGAATTCACTGAACCAGTATTGAATAGCTGATTAAAGTTTGTTACTCTGTGAGTTAACTGAACTTTAAACTTGATGACAAAGAACTTCATTAAACTGAAAACACTGAGGAATGCACCAGTCACCACCTGACTGATTATTTTGACAAGGATTCCTATTTGGATGAGCTTTACAATTACTGTTGTTATTCTGTCAGTAATGAAAAAGTATAAGGGTTGGGTGTAATATTGATAGACATAGTGGGCACCTGTCCAAATTATGGTTTTGGTTGTTTTCATTTGAATTTAGAATATAGACCTATGTGGCTGACCAGAGACACTCTTTTTTAAATATTGTGTGTTCAGAAACCTTCCTTAATATTTGGTTGTATTCAACTTTGAAATCCTATTCATTTTTACACAGTGACAGTCCAAGGTTCATGTAAAAGAAGAAATGGTTTTGTTAACATCTGTGTATTGATACAGAGCATAAAGTTGTGTAAAATTGCACTGTTGTGTGTGTGACAAGGTTACAAGGGTCAAAATTTGTATTTCTCAGTGTAAAACACTGGGAATGTTGTGTGAAATTTACAGTTTTCTCTATATCTGTATACTGACATCCACCAAACGTTTCTTTTTTCACTGTTTGTATTTAACCTCACCAGTGGCCATTTGTTCATAGATTTGAATCACTGTCTTTTTTAAACAAATACTCTTTGCCACAAGCACATTTATTATTTTTTTGCCTCCCTCAGCAGCCAGCTTGGTCTGTGTTTGTATGGAATGTTCACAGCTAGAGTGATTGACATCACACACAAGAGTGGGGAGAAGCTGTTTAACTGATCTGAAAAATTTCAGTTTACCTCGTCCTCACGGCCACAAATTTCAACATGTAAATGAAAAGAAATGAAAAGGAGGGAGGTAAGGTAATTAGGTAAATTTAGTGGAGTTGTTAACAAGATATCTGAAATGTGACCCTGACTACACTCTGCTTTTTGTTAGAAGCCATAAAGGTTATCAACCACTGGTTTAATCTTAAAAAATGTGTTGTATTTTAAAAGCTTATTATAGTATTCATTGTGTAACATTTTCATCTTAAAAGTAACTAACTACAGTTTTAAAATAAATGTAGCCTAGTGGAGTAGAAAGTACATTTCCCTGTGAAATGTAGTGGAGAGAAAAAATAAAGTAGAATGAAATACTCAAGTAAAGTATATATACCTTGAAATTGTACTGTACAGTCCTTGAGTAAGTACATTTAGTGACTTTACACAATTGGTAAGTTGTTTGTAGACCAGCTCCTCGTTGCAATTAACAGGCCTTGATTATAGGTTCTGATATGGTTCTGAAAGTGGTAACTACACATACAAGTTAACTGATTTTAACTTGAAAAATACTGTATATTTATCATAATTAAATTAATTATACTGTTGCTCCTGCTGTCTGCATGATGGCCAAATGAATCCAAGGTAATGTTGATGTTGTTAATTGATCATTTAGAATGTAAGAGCCTGTACTGTCACCATGTGGCCATTAAAGAAAACAGCAACTGGTATACCCAATGAATGAATTCCATTTTTTATATATTTTGGCCAGTTTTCAGTTTAAAGTTGAGTAGAGGTATGCTGGAAATGTGCTGAAGTCATTAAACTCCATGTAAGAATTATAAAGGTGTAAGTTGTTCTCTCATAACAGGTGCAACAAAGCTCACAGACACACGTGTGTGGTGGTCCATTGATTTCAAGTAATAAGAATGTTTCTTTATCTGCTGCTGTTTTCAGCAGCAGCAACACAATATCAAAATATATCCAAATATTAAATGTTGTGCATATTCTGTAGTTCACACAAATAGAAAATATAGTTTAAAACATAAAAGACTTTATTGAAAAACAAGACATGGATGACAAGCACACTGAATCTGGCGTATAATTGTATTTGCTGAACAAGGTTTAAAAAAACAAAAACAAAAACAAAAAAAACATCCAAAAATATTCATAAAGTGTGTGTTGGTGTAGCACCAGTGTGTTGAAACTAGTCAGAAATTTATTTCTTCTTGCCTTTGCCCTTTTTTGCCTTCGTGCTTTTGCTCTTGTTCTTTAAGGCCTTGCGAGTACTATAGCCCCTCCACCAGGCTTGGGCAAAAACAGCAGCTTTGGTCTTCAACTCTAGCTCCCTCATCTCCTGCTGTCTCTTCTCCTCTGCCAGTCGACGTTTCTCCTGGATCTGCTTGCACTCCTCCTCTAGGACAGAAAAGGGTTTCTCCAGCCTCCTCAGTTCCTCCTCCTCCCTTTCATAATCAATTTCATTCAGCTTCAAGTCAGCCTGAGAGAGGTGAGGGTGGCAGTTATGATGAGGCGTGTAAGGACAGAAAAGAGAGAATAGTGGTGATGACAGTAATGGGCAGCAAAGAAAAAGGAGGAGAGGAGAAGTTAGAAGTTAAATCTGACCAAAGAATATTTAAAAGTTTTACTAAACATTGATAGACCCCATTTATATTTGGTCATTTCACAGATACTGAACATCTTGAAATCTTGAAAGGAATAATCCATTCAGTAAGAAGGTATAAATTCACCAATGGTATGCAAAAAACAGACTGAAATTTGCCTAAACCAATTAAATAGATAATCTGTTACACATTGTTGTCCAGTGTTATACAAGTGTGAATGCATCAGTCCTGGATTTCAAACTAGACCAAACTCCATCAACTGTTGAAGACTAAGAGATGCAGTTGAATGCTTTGGAAAATGCTAGTAAATGGACTCTGTGTTAAGAGAATTGTTAAACTACTACATCTGAGGTTGACAAAAGACTGTCACGTTAAACATCCTGAATACATTCTTAACAAGTATATGAACTAGTATACACACTATATATTATTCCAGTATCATTGGACACTTTGTGGTGTCTGGGTGTTTACCGAATTTTCTTCCATTTCATTGTCAAACTTTTGGAGCAAGTATTCAATTTCTGTCTCCACTTTTTCGTATTTCTGCCAAGGAAGAAAAACAGTATTATCTAACATTTGTTTAAATGGAAAGTAAATATGTTACTACCAACTACATATGAAATATTTACTGTGAAATACTACATAAACAAAATTTACCTCTTGGAGTACTCTCTCTGCCTGTCTGTTCTCAAGGATTAAATTGTTGAGTTGAATGTTCAGTTGATCAATTTCCTGCTTCATACTGGCCTGTTTCTTTGATATCTTGATAAGTGGCTGGTGCTGCTTGGCTGACATATCCGCTTCTAGTGTGTTGATCCCTTGCAGAGAATGCTGCATAATTTCTATCTTAACTTTTCTCTGAGAAATCTGTGATACAAACAGAAAGAAACAACAGGTGAGATAGGAAAAAGGCCAAGAGAAGAGGATATATTTGTTAAAATTCATTTTTTTCCTTCTCTAGCTGCATCTAAGCAAATTACACATGGCAGAGTAAACTCTTTTCAGTGAAGGCTTCTTTTTCAACAAACAATGTGATGCCTCACCTTTGAATCTATTTCCTTTTTGGCTGTAGCTACTTCTTCCTCCACTAGAACCATGTGCTCCATATTGTGGGCAGGGGATGGACACTCTGGCTTGCGGAGGACCAGCTGTAGCTCCTCTTCCAGACTGGTCAGCAACTTTACTACCATGAGGCTGTGAAACATCTTAAGCCCTCTAATTAGTTTGCACTCACTCTCCCCTACTTCCATACCTCTCCGTCTCAAACCAAAAATGGCATCTGGATGTGCTCGGAAAAACCTGAGCAGGTCCCTGACAGAATTCTTGATGTCCGTCTCAAGCTGAGCCCTTGCTCTCTCCCTTGCTTCTCCATTTTCTCCCTCCGACTCCTGCTTAAGACCTTCTAGCGTCTGCAATCTTTCATCTAATAGTTGATGCCTGTGAAGTGCCCTACTCAACTCCTCGTCTACAACACTAGATGCACTGTTTAAGTGGAAGATAGCTGGCAGTGCTGCCACAATCTCAATTTGACTGATGCAGTTTTCTAATACTTTTGAGATGCGCTGAGCCTCAAAGGAGAGCTGCTTTTTCTGTGACAGGTCACGGTTCTTCAGAGCATCCTCTGATTGGGTCTTTGCCGTCATAGTTGCCCCTTTTGCAGACATACTGGATGGTAGGAAAAGAATAAACCATGACAAAAACCAATGCTGTAAAATTTGTACATGTTATATATGACCATACGATGTTTATCTATATTGTCTTAAAATATTATCCACTTACCTATAGTTACTTTGTTTGTATAGCTACTTTATTTTCTATACCGTAGGTACTTACATATAAATGCTTTTGTCTATAGGCCAGTGCTCCCCATCCTTTTTTACTTGGGCCTTGTGCCTTCACTATACAGAATGATGAGTTTGACACTAGAAAGCTGTTTTCAAATTCTTCTGCTGAAAGTGGAAAGTTTCTCTGTGCTCACCTTACATCTGAGTCACAGATACTTTGTAAGCCACTTACATAAGTGTGATGTGGTGATGTGGAAACTCAAAGCATTACAGCGCCACTGAGAATGATCGTTCAGTGAGTTAGTTACACTTTTGACATGGAAAAAGTATTCAGATCAAAAACATATCAGATCCAAATAATTATCATTCAAGGCAGTGTATTTTTTATAGCCTATATCTTTGAACATGCATGAAGGGGATCTACTGCGTTATCTTGCGACCATTGTTGGGGTCCCTTTTCGGTACTGAGTATTTGAGTATTTCATGCACTGTAGCCCCAAGTCATTGGTCCAGAGTAGTTTGTATTAAAGCCATGACACAGGTATAGGCTATGTTTGTAGATTACATGTGTCATTAATTATCTATCAATGACAGAATTAGCAGCTAGTTTTAGGTTCAGGGGTTAATTAAGGAAGCATTAGTGTAGGTTAAATTTAAACACCATAGTCCCTTAAAAAACAAACACTTTATGTCGTTGAGAAAGAGTTAATTTTACGGGGTATGACAGTTGTCACTTTAACTTACATTCGTTTAGATGAAGTTAAAAATGTGTCATAAGCTACGTACCTTTCGGCTCATACATTGGCCGCAAGCAGAAAACATTGTTGACAGTTATATTTGTGTTGCTAAGGAACCACTAATGCGCGTGATAGTATCAAATCACTGGAGCACATTGCGGATAGCTTATGACGCAGAAAAGAAATGGATGCATATATAATTTATTTTTTAAAGGAATTAATAAATGCACGAATGCAATAACTTTCGGTTAAGCGTTTTACGCTTACGGTACTGTTATACAGCCACTGACTTTTATTTTGAAAATTTGGCAGCGGTCACTGAGCCTGCCGTGAGTTGCTTTGGTGTCGCGAAAGTTTGTTGATGTAGCGGTAGCCAGTATCTGCGTTTCTAGTGTCCTTAGTGTTAGGTGTTGTTATTTGTGGAAATATTAAGGTAGATATAAAACGAGTGCACTTACGTATCGGTTAAATGTTACCAGAGCACGAACTTCGTCTGTTATCCAGCAGAAAGCCCGGTGTGCGGTGACGATGCCGTAATGGACACAGACGGACTGTCTCAGCTTGTTAGCCAGGGTGACAGAGAACCAGTTGATTCCGTGACAGATGTCATCTGTGACAGGACAAAGACCGAAACTGCAGCCAGCAGACCTCACACAACTTGCTAGTTCCTGTGTTGCATGTCTGCCCCAGAGATATTTAAACTTGTCCTTAGCTATCATCTTGGCTAGCACAACATAAAAAGTACTCGGTTTGTTAGCCAACAACTAAAGGTTAACGTTGTAGCTGTGAGCACCCAAGATGTGCAATTGTCTTGCGGTTTGCAGAACAAACCGTGTAGTTATTTAGCTAGTGTGGGTTGCTTAGATTATCTCTAACTGAACGCTAGCAAATCAAGGCGGGTTGCAGCCTGTTTATCTGCTAGTATGGAGTCTGACGACGATGTGCCTCTCATCTTGACCTGGGACGAAGCAAACAGCGGTCTGCTCAACGAGGAGACAGAGAGGGGAGACGAGAGTAAGTTTTTGCTGTTATATCCTCAGTGGAGTTCTGTAGACTGAATGTATGTCCTTGTCATGGCATGGTGTTAGACATACAGATAGCACAAATACAACGAGTTGCCTATTATCTAAAAATGCACTCTAATACAACAGTGCCATCCTCATGAAGGTTAAATGTGAATGTTAGTACCAACTGAGAATAAGCTTGGTGGTTGTTTTTTCTGTATAAAGTAAGACAGAAATGTGCACTTTCTTTATGCCATACTGAAACTCACGTTATTGCCTGAGTGGTGATGCATTGTTTTTGTATATGTATTTAAAGTATTGTACATAGCATATTATAGCAGTATATTTTGTTATATCAAGCCCATACTCATCTACTTACCAGGTTTGCACTGGTGCCTTTTGATGTTGTTAACAGTCAGCTGCTTGCATCCTGCACTTCCAGGCCACACCGCTTTAACTGATTATCCACCAGGCTCTCCTGTGATCACGTGTGTGTGTGTGTGTGTGTGTGTGTGTGTGTGTGTGTGTGTGTGTGTGTGTGTGTGTGTGTGTGTGTGTGTGTGTGTGTGTGTGTGTGTGTGTGTGTGTGTGTAGTATGCATGGGTATCCATGCATCCACTCAACATAGTAATCCTGCTCCCTTTGTATTCCTCACATATAAGCTACAAAATGACCCATCTGAGAAAATGCTGCCTCAGCAGACAGTGGACCCCTCAGCCCCTCCCTGTTGCTCATGGGCAGCATGTGTGCGTTGTGTGTGTGAATGTCTGTAGCCTGTGTGTAAGTTTGTCTGTGTGTGTGAGCTTACTGGATCATTTTCTCTGGCTCTGGAGGTGAACAGGAAGAGCAGAGGAGTTTTTTTCTTCAGGATATCTAGGAGTGGTGGACAAGGAGGAAGTATCACACTGTGCTTGCTGATTACTGTTGGAGTTTTCTGGAAAGAGAGGGAGTTTGAACCTGGACACTGAGAAAGAAGGCTGCATTATATTACCTCAGTGACAAATCACATGCTTGGACAGAAGTTTAGAGCTTAGTTTTATTGCTGGCGACAAGGATCCTTCAGATCACCACAAAGCTAGATTTTGTTTTTCCTGGGAGAAACACTCATGACGACTGAGTCTGTTTGTGTTTCTGTGAGCCTGACCCCACCGCGTTATTGAGTGGGAGCTCCAAACATGTTATTGTTCTCAAACAAATGAGGGGTTGGAATGGTACACGGCAGACACGGGGTGTACTCCTGTCAGGATAACAGCCAGGCTACCGCTGGACTGGAATTTGATCTTCACACTTCAGCTCAGTCCGCTGCGGTCATGGTGGACAGGAAACGTCTGTGACTGCATTTCTGAGACTCATATGGTCTCCACAGCTTTTTGTTCCGAGGAATTGTGCCTGAAGGAGAAACGTGATGTACAGTGTGTGGGAAGATCACCCAGATAGACTTGCACAGGACTAAAAATGCAGCTGCACAAGACACATGGAGGGACTTCTTATTCAAGAAAAAAACAATGATTTATATTTATGTGAGATCCTGCTTGAATCTGTAAATGAAGGTTATCAGAGAATGTTGAGTTAATCCAGATTTCATCTTTTACTATTGTACTTTTGAGTTTATTTTGTAAACAGTGCAGGTTTAAGAAAAAGGTACTATTAGTGTCATTTTAAAGGTAGTCATTAACTAATTCAGTGTAATGGAATGCTGTTGTTGCACTGTTATTAGATATCTAGATGTCTTCCCTGTATTCTGAAGTTAGTCGCACTCAGTTTTATAGAACAGGATTAATTCCTCCTGTGGTTTATCTGTCTCGTGTCTGTATCCTGTCTGTGGCAGGAAGGAGATCTAATAGGCAATGTGACATCAGTGCAAACACGGCACTTTCTAACTGACTGACAGAGCTCAGTTCAAAGTTCAAACTCTGCTGCGAAGGCAGGAGTCACATTTCACTGTTACTGGTTATTACTACAGTATCTCTCATCAAGGTGACTGTAAGAGACGCTTTTTCCAAAAGAAGCAACCAGTTATCGTAAAGACGTACTGACTGTAGTAAGCACCTTCAGTTGTTTTGTTTTGAGTGGTGTTCTGTCTCCAGCGGCCCACTGATCCCCAAACTTTGCCTGGATATTTCTGCATCTGTGAGGACTCGCATCAGGACTCAACTTGTGACTGTATTTCTGGAGTTTTCATCAGGCCTGAGTGGAATGTTTGGCCATCTGTATCTCCAGATGTGTGTGGATGCTGGAACAAGACCAGCATACTGTGATTGACACACACACACACACACACACACACGCACACACACACACACTTGTGTGGTGGACTTCAGGGACCATAATACATCCTCACAACTGAGGCACACAGACAAATCCAGACTGATCAATGGAGTGCTTATGCGGACAGGCAGCTGTGTCCCATGAAGATCAGACCCATAACGAGAGTCCAGTAGTGATCTCCGCCTATGCCTTACAGTTAGAACTAGACTGCATTGGTAGGCGCATACTACTCTATGTACTCTATACTATGTACTGTGTGGTGTTATGCAAAGAATAAGCATGGAAGTGAAAAGACAAGCTAATTTTTGTTTCAGTTTGTCGTGCTTTACTGCATAAATAAGGGCTGTATCAATACCCTGACATTTATGTGTTTTCTTCCAGACGGAGGTGGAGGCAACTATGACATAGTGAACAATGCTGTTATCTCAACACCTGGGCCACAAAACCATAGAGCCCAAAGTGTGTCATTACGGCAAAGCTGGGAGATGAACTACCAAGAGGCAGCCATCTACCTGCAGGTACAGAGCAACTAGAACAGAGTTAACATGTTTATATGATGGTTTTTATTACATCATCTATACTCAATAATTTGTAGATGATTAAACCTTGTGCTCTTTCAATGGGCTATATTTACATCATAAACAGCTGCAGGAGGTAATAAAAAGTGTTAATATACAAGGGACTGCAAGTCACAAAAGAGGGAGGTACAAATATGGAATTTCTTGGCTACTAAATATGTTTGATCAGTTCAATTATGATAAGAGGCGCTACAAATTTGTAGACAGATACAGTAGATGTTTACTTTCAGCGGACACAGTAATAAGAACATGTGGACCTTGTGAAAAGGATGATGTGTATTTGGTAGACTTTTCCCTTTAAAAGGTTTGTTTTTTGATAGCTGGTCTCAAGTCTGATCTGTGTAAGAAAACTGGCAACCAGGTGTTTCAGATACATTGACTTATCATAGCAGGAAAAGCACAGGTAACTAATATCAATAATAATTAATTAATCTAACTTCAGATACTGCTGTGTGTTTGTGTGACCACAGGTACTGCTCCATAGTGTCGGGACATTAGTTGAATCTGGCAACACAATATTTCACATTCTCATGCTCAGTATGTGGCTTCTATGTGTCTTTTGAATTTCATATGCAGGAAGGAGAGAACAATGATAAGTTCTTCACCCACCCTCGAAACCCAAAGGCATTGGCAGCGTACCTGTTTGCCCACAACCACCTGTTCTACATGATGGAGCTGCTGACAGGCCTGCTGCTGATGATGTTGTCACTGTGCGAAGCTCCCGCTGTGCCCTCACTGCGCTTGGATGTATACGTGAGTGAATGTATACACCAAAAACATACTCACACACCCACAAGATTGTACTCTCAGTTTCCTGTACAAAAGCTCCTGTGTATGTGATACCTCTGCAGGTCCATGCCACTCTGGAGCTGTTGGCTTTGGTTATGGTAGCATTTGAGCTATGCATGAAACTCCGCTGGTTAGGCTTCCACACCTTCATACGACACAAGAGGACCATGGTGAAGGTAACTCATACATGATGGATAGTTTCTGATGGCAGTAATTCAGCTCCTGTTACTGTATATTGTTCATGTTATCACTTGTCCTCGTGCAGACGTGTGTGTTGCTGCTACAGTTTGTGGAGGCCATAGTTGTTCTGATCAGACAGACGTCTCATGTGCGAGTGACCAGAGCTCTCAGGCCGATATTCTTGGTGGACTGCAGATACTGTGGTGCTGTGCGCAGGTACATAATGACCTAAACAAACACACACACAGATTGACACAGTCAGGTCTTTCAGAAATTACATGTACTGCTCACTGACATTTAGTTTTAATGTCACTACTCTGTGAGTCAGTTACCTCATAGATGATGTGCTCTTTTACATGTTTTTTGTATTATTTTATCCTGCTCTTTGTACATACAGACACCACTGATTTAACTGTTGAACGCACTCGTCACTGACACAGTTTCTTTCATTCGATCAGAAACTTGCGTCAGATCTTCCAGTCCCTCCCACCTTTTATTGACATCCTCCTGCTGTTGCTTTTCTTCATGGTTATATTTGCTATCTTGGGTAAGAATATATAATTATTAAATTTATATTACATAAATGCTGCTGCTTATTTTCTGTCCTCTTTAGAAGTTAAGTTAGGGATCAGTTTTTCTGTTACTCAACGTTTGATTTGCCTTTTGTGTCCTCCA